GGAGGGAGGGAGGGAGGGAGGGAGGGACCTTTGTTGGAACAGCAATAGGTGCCTTTGGTCTCTGTCCTTTTTTGATATCTGACAGCTCCGAGAAGGTATGGGAGTGGAAATATCAGTCTAAAAACAAACATAGCATCGATGGATGGAGAACTACCTTATTCTTCCTTCATCCCTTACATCTTTTTTCCCTACACAATACATTCTGGAGAGACATGGGCTGGGAGTGATAAGGTTTAAGCTGATGTGTTAGAGCCTCCTTCCAGGTTGACACTGACACTTATTTTGTCTCATATGAAAAAGCAGGGCTTGAGGGTCCACTCTCACAAGCCCTCATGCACACAACCCCCCCCCCTTGATTATTTCATCAATGCAATTAATCAAGTTGTGGTCAAATTTTAATCAAAGGATTGAGACCCAACAACCTTCTTGCCAAGTCTGTTCCACACTCTAGATTACACGTCCTTGTGCTCTCCCAACTAGACTGACCAAAGTGGGTTGAGTGTGCAACCAATTTGCCCTCTGAAACCTTGTTTTCCTCTAGCTTTGTAGGAAACCAGTTGAGTTTCTGCAGCTTCCTCCTGTCTAACCATATAGCATAAAGAAACCTGTTGGAAGCCTCTTTAAATTTGCTTCCACCTCTTTAAAACACTGGTGACTCAGTGCAGCATCTCACAGGACATTATTCATAAAAGTTCCCTCGCCTCTTAGGGCTGATTATCTAAAATCAAATTGAAGCCATTTTCATGATTTTCTTCATGCTCCAATCTACATCAGCACCGAGGTCGAGGATGTGGCCCTGGAATTCCATTTGCACTGTGACTTCTCTAGGATCCCTCTTTAATAAATGCTGCAAAAACACTTTATTGATTAAGCTGGGGTATACATACGTGTGTGTGTGTGAGGGAGATGCGAGTTGGCTTCTGTAATCCGCTTCTTCTAAAACAACGCCTGTATGAATGTTTTTTGACATCAGCAAGAGATCAACAAGTCAACTTCTCTCCTGCCATCAAAACAGCCATTGTTGAACAACGGAGCTTTTGAGGGAGCCCAGAGCACGCACTACAATTTAGCCAAAGGCTCAGTTCTGCTATTGTAGTCAGAACCGACATAATGGGTATCCTGCTTCCACTTTATGTGGAAAGTGGCCTACCGATGCAAGAGCACTGGAATTCTCCTCAGCATTTCACCGTGGCTGGTCTGTGCAATTGCCCTACGTCTGAGGCTTGGTTTAACTGTCGGTCCTGTTCTTTGCATCTTACTTCTCAACGACTTTGCTGCCTACACCTTTCTCTCTTTGTATATGTTCACAGGGATGGATCTATATATGACAACTTAAGATCAATCTATTCCACAAAAGTAGTGATATATTTTTGTAAAGGATTGGCTATAATTAAAAATAAAATTATTGTTGGCCTTTGTGTTTGGTGTCCTTACTGCGAGAAATGAATCTAGTTTTCCTTTGGAAATGGCATGTTTTATTTTTCTGCATTCTAGGTATCTAGATGGTCTATAACTTACAAGCCATGTGTAGGGCCAGCCCTAATTCAGTGAATGCAAAAACCATATATATAGACTCAGGTTTTGTTGCATACTTCCAGTAGGCCTTTCGTAAATGTTGGTGTAAAAACATGCCGAATTAAATATGCAAAAAACCCCACTATTGGGAGAGGATGCGGCTTTTGGGGGCTGTCTCGAAAAATGACAGCTGATTTGTGGATTTGTGACAACAGTGTGGATTCAGCCAGTTGACGTGAGATATTCATCAGGACCTTCACATGCCTGTCTCCTTCCCTAATCCCAGCAACGCACTCCAGCTGGAAGGCTGCAGGAACTGAGCTGCACAAGAGTTATTCTTGAAAAGATTCTGTGCTGTCACCCTGTTAATGCACTGACCAGGGATGTATCAAGGAAGAAAGTGACTTCTGCTCATTTGCCAGGTACCTCTGCCACGGTGGATCTCCTTCCACTTTAATTCTTGGACACTTGGCCACCGTTAGCAGTGCTGTCCTCTGGCATCTTTGGTGAAGCAGCTCTGGATGTGAAAATACAAATGAGCTAGAGACCGAGAAAGGATTGCTGTAGATGAGAAAAGTAAAGCTATTGGGGGTCATTTTCTGCACAAACCAGAGGAAGGCAACTCCCCAGCTGCAGGCTTAGCCTTGGGCCCCACATCCTCCTCCTCCCAGAGCTTCCTGCAAGGACTCAGGGGCGGCTGCCGTGAAGAAGAGAGACCGGCCGGCTTGCGGCCACATGCAGCCAGAGCACAGAGCAGCCGGAAAGGCACACCTCTGGCACGACGACGTTCCAGCCACTACCTTCTGGGGCTGACTGGCTGCATTTGGACATGGACAGAATTAAGCCATCTTCTCCGTCTGCACAATACACTGAACTGTACACAAACAAAATGGGCAGTTTTCTTACACTAAACCAACACGCTGACCTAGGTTAACGCTAACCGCATTTATCAGATTTGTAACTGACATAGTTAAGGGTGTTGTGGGAACACAGCTTCTGAGTCTATGCGGCCGCCTGGTCTCTTGCTCGCTGCTATGCCTTCTCCTATTTCTGTTTCTTCTTCACCTGGGTGGATACCAGACAAATCAAGAGAAGGGAGGAAGGAGGAGAAGCAAAGAGAGGTTGTAAGCATGGATGGAGGAATGGTGATGGAAGCAACTCACCTGCTGCTGCTGCTGCTGCTGCTGCTGGTGCTGCCGTTACGGGCTTCGTGTCCCACCCCACAACTGTTCCTAGTGAGAGAAGGAAAAACAAGTGGAAGGAAGGACCTCTTGCGAGAAAGCTGCCACATCAAGCCAGCGAGTGACACCCGTTGTCTTCTGCCCTGGAAGGAACTGGCGTGCAGCGCTACGGCTCCTTCCTCTGGTTTTGCCAGGTTCCTCTGGCAACCTGGGAAGAAAGACATACTGGGAGGAACCGTCTCCCTTTGCAGTGGGGTGAAAATGAGGAAAAGGGGGAGGTCTAGAAGGAGACAGAATCGAGGCCAAGAGATTTCCAGGAAAGGCTTTCAGGAACATAGGTTTGTTTGTGCTTGTTTGAAAAAGGAAGCATCGTTTTCTGAAACAGAATACAGAAACAAGGTTTCCCAGAGCCTGGCTTGGATCTGGAGAACTATGGCAGGGCACGGTAGAGACGGGGCGAGGAGGAGGTCTAGGGCTGAACATTTAAAGCCGGGTGGCTGCACAACTGAAAGAATATTTGAAAGTGGATGTTGATTTTAAAAATGAGAGACAGGAGGCCTTTAGGAACAAAAGCTAAGGGAGTAAGATCCTTTGCAGCAGCAACACAGGTTAGCTTCTTTCAGGGATCACAGCTGCACATTCGAAGTAGCTGCTGAGTTTTTATCTCACTTCAAGTTAATCTTGCGCGCTCAGCTTTTTTGGGTCAAATGTCAAAACACGTTTAAATGTTATGCTAAGGAACAACTCGTACTGAACAAAAGCAGCTTGTCCAGACTGATCTGGGAAAGCAGAATTTCATAGAAACCTGCCTTCCTATCATTAGGAGTAGACTCCAAGGACAGCGTTGTCCTCTCTCTGTTTCCTTCGAAAGTCACTGGGGTACAACCTGAGGCCACGAATCAGTTTAACGAAGCACTATGGATAAGATATATCATAAAATATATATTTTATGAAGCACATGCAAGGGTGGCTGTGACTTTTTTTTTACACGTAGTCGTTTCCTTGGCTCCTTACGGGGTTCCCTGCCAGTCGTGCGTTCCGCATCACTCCTGTCCAGCCCCTCTCGGTTGCAACAGTCGGACTCCCATTTGTCGCTTTGTTTTCTTCCACCAGGAAGAAAGTCGACATCGAGCAAGAAATGTGTGGTTGGGATGGATTCTCCGCTGCCCAGTGGCTTCATCTGGCAGAACCAGTGGTACCCTGTCTTCTGCAGTTTGGCCAGTTTCGGGACCTTGGATCAAATTTACACGTGCTTAAGAAGAAAGCTGATTTACTTCTTGGGAGACTCAACAGTGCGGCAGTGGATAGAGCATCTCACAAACACAGTGAGCAGTAGGTTTGCCTTGAGGCCACAAAGCCCCGCCGTCCTGCTTCCGGCCGGGGTTGCTCCGTTGTGCAGCTCCTGCGCAAAATTTAGTGTCTTTCCTCAGGGTACTTCCTATCAGCAGCCAAACAGTCCTAAAACATTGTTCTCCCTTCAAACTTTCCCTGAGTTGTATGTAACCAGAAGCTCTGTGCTTTCTGAGCACAATCCCAACTACTTGGGCTGATGTGAGGGAGAAAAACGGCTCCATGTCTGAAACGGGTGATTTGCAACTTGCGCTAAGGGTAGCAGCAATTGCAAAAACCCCGTTGCTGGCATTATATCCTGGCTCCCTGCGGGTCTAATTTCAATATTGTACAAGTACGTAACACGCTGAGAGGTAAAAATTAAGAACTGAATTTTCTAAGAATCACAGCTTTTAAAAACTTATTTTCAAACAATTGAAAATCTGTCTGTAATCTTAAATTTTATGTTAGTTATTTTCTCTGGCATTGTATTAATCCTTTGCTTTGCTTTTCTTGTTAGCCCTAAAGTATTTTGACACCCATGGAACTGGGAATCTCCAGAATTTGCTTGCCGTGGACATAGCAAGAAACGTTCAGGTCAGCTGGAAGAAACATGGCCACCCCATCATCACTGTTCATGAATATACGGTGAAAGATCACAGCTACATGGCTCGGGAGATTGACAGCGTGGCAGGAGACAGTGACACAGTGATCGTTGTTTCCTTGGGCCAGCATTTCCGCCCATTTCCTATTGAGCTCTTCATTCGAAGGGCAATTAATGTGCGGGAAGCCATCCAGCGCCTTCTCTGGAGAAGCCCAGATACGAAGGTCATCATCAAGGCAGAGAACATCCGGGAGATGCATACGGATCCAGAACGGTTCAGTAACTTCCATGGCTATGCCCAGTATCTTGCCGCAAGAGACATTTTCCAGGATCTCAAAATCGGCATTGTTGATGCCTGGGACATGACAACTGCTTATGAGACCAGGGATGTTCACCCACCATCTTATGTGGTAGGGAATCAAATTAATATGTTCTTAACTTTTATCTGTTAAAGAGGTTCCGCAAACAGGGTTTGAAAACACAGTGAGATGAAACGGATGATTTTCATCCGAAATCTTCATATGTGAGTGTCTTGGGAGCTTCAGCTGAGGCCCCGCTCCAAATAACTGTGTAACTAGATCTCTACATCCAAGAAGATACATGTTTCTCCAGCAGAAGTGTTTTTCCCTCCCATCGCAGGCTACAAGCCAACTCTAAACCAGAGGAGATTTCTATAGCAGTTTCTAAGAGGATGGAGCTATTGTCAAGGGGAACTGGGGTACCTTGTCCACATCTTTGGCATTCCTAAAAGACTACACCAGATTGCCTACAGCAAGATGACCAAATATTTTTAAGATTCAGCATCATGCTGGACAGCGAAGCATGCATTACATTTAGGAGGCAAACTGTACTGTCTTGCCAGAGATTATTCAGATGACCTTACAATCCACAGTCCATCTGTCTCCACATGCCTCTTCTAAAACAGGATTAGAGTCTAAATCTGCCTCATCAAGTAGTTGTTACAATAAAGATGGTAAAAGGCAATGTCAACGAGATCTTGCTAACGCACCACACCCTTCTCCTCCTGGAGAACCAAAACAGAACCACAGAAGACGAGGAGGAGGCTTCAACAAGGCTGATTTTATTCTATAACAAAAGAGGGTGTCTATGACCAAATGAAACAAATTCTCCAATTACAAGAGGTATTTGGTACTTCTGAGCTGAACAACCATTGAACGTCAAAGGCACCTGCCCCCAACCCAGGCCTTGAACGCCTGTCACATCTGGTACTCAGTCATGTTACCATTTTGAGAAAGGAAAGGAGCTTGAAAGGAGATGGTTCTCTTCAGCGGGAGATTCCCCTGGATTCTTGAGTTTTTCCTAAAGAATGAGGATGCAGGATTAGCTAGCAGGCTTTTCGCTTTCACCATTTTCCACCAGTTTTCTTTTCTTTTCGTCTGTTTTCCTTTTAAAGATGCTATTTCTGTAAAACTGGAGCTCTTTGATGCTCTCCCGGATGTCATCAAGGGCTCTAAAAATAATTCAGGAAAGTCAGTATATTTTAAAGATAAGGAAATACCTGCTACATACATTTGCCTCAAATGAAAAACTCGGTACAAAAATGGTTAAGTTTTTACCCAATTCTGATCTGGAAGGAGGCTCTTCAATTCGATGCTCTTTGCTCCAGGGCTGAACGTTTGTACCATCATTGCTTACTATCAAAGCTCACACGCTGCCTGGCCAATGTATCACAACATCTCGTGTGCCTCCCACTTGTTCATCCGTTGTCTGCTCTCGGGGCACAGACATCCTTTCTCTCTCTTTTGAAAAAGACGCTTCTACATTCCCCTGTGCATGTCTGCCAATCCCCACCAGCAGACAATTCCCTACCCCCTTTCTTTCCTTGCCCAGCCCTCCTGCTTTTCAAAGGGGCTCTTTCTTCCTCCGTTCTCCTGCCCTGCAGCAAAGTAACTTGCATCAGGCAAGCCACAGTTGTGCAGGCGCGGCTTGATTTTAAAAGCTTCTAGCCAAAGCAAGATGGTAAGGGGGAAAGTACAAAGGCGGGGAGAATCCCCAAGAAAAGAGATGCTCTGAACTAAACGAAAAATGCTAAAACTGTTATTGCTTCTGAAACAGACTTTGTTCAAGCAACATTTAGCAATATGCTAACTGTTCAATTATGCAATGTATTACTGTATTAATATTCAACTTAGGCTAGAGGACTTGTCAGTACTGTAACGTATATGCATTTTTATTAATAATATAAACTCCAAAAGGGACATTTCTGCAAATGAACAAAAACTGAAGGAAACAAAGAACGGAACTGGAACTGGAACTGGAACTAGTGGGCGGCGTAATACTGGGTGAAATTCAAAGGGGTCTGAGCGAAGGAGGCAACAGGGTGCCCAGGGGACCAACGGGCTTGCGGACACCTCCTTCAGGACCCACTAGGATTCCTGCCCCAACTGGCTTTTCATAAAAGCGTGGAGCCTAAAGAAGGAAGCACCCTGCTAGCAACATGCCGCCAAAGCATCCCTTGTGTGTAACTGGAACGTAACATTTGGAACAGTATTAACTTCCACGGTGCCTTTGTTACTTTACATTGCGGCTCTTCTTGTTTTAAGTAGAGCCTGTTTAAAAACTTTAAAAGCCTTAAGCAACGTTAGATGAATAACGAGCTATCAAAATTCAGCTCAAATCAATTTTAGCCTGAAATCAGTAGTGGCTCACTTACGTTACTTCTGTGTGCTAATCCACAACTCAAACAGTAAATAATACAAATGCAAGTCTGCACTATCAACAGGGAGAAGAAAATTCCACGGAAATTCCTCTTTCTATAAAACGAATGAAACAATTCTAAGGAGGCAAGAACATTCCCCACCAATTAAAAGTTCTCCTTGCGATTCTGCTGCCTCACCGCGTGGGAGTGCATTCATAAGACAAGCAACTATCTAAAAATTAAGGTCAGAAAAATTACCGTATTTTTCCGAGAATAAGACGCCCCCATGTGCAAGACGACCCCCACTCTTCCAACCCAAAATTAAGAAATCAATATTTTAAAGATAGTGCAGAACACATATTTAGTCATTAGGTAACATTGACC